TAAAAGAGAGATTGGCTAAATTTCTTGCAAGGATGATATCGTTCTAAACAAATAATTTATTTTCAAGCTAAAAAAATATGACAAACTGCAATACAACTTACCGTTCCTGATCTCATGAGACCCCTTCGCCTCTCAGTTTGAAAAAAAAACATGCTTTAGACCGAACAAAATGTAAAATGATTTTAAGAACAAATGCAATTCACACCATAAAAGTAATTCACACCATACAAGCAATGAAAATAAAAGTAAAATTTCCCCCTAGAATTATGAATAAAATCTCGATTACGTCATCGTTATATTTACAACGAATACGGTTATATATATAAAATCTTCACAAGGTTGTCCAATCAGATAACGTTTGGTGAGTTTGTTCCAAAAGGTGACTAACTCTCGAAACTTAGGTCATATTTAAGACTTATCACAAATTGATTTAACCCAATAGCTAGTTGGGCCCGCACAGTGGGGGGGAGACAGGGCAATCTCCTTCTCTTCACCTTTTGTAAGGACGACAGTGAGGTAATGGATTCGACCAAAGACCTGTAGGAGTGCATCGAAGCTCCTTGGGACCAAGTCGACGGTATCCTTTATTACATGAAACTAAGATAAGTTCATTTATATCGTAATGAAACTTTGTCGGGAGTATGTAACCATTAGTTGGTTCGCCTGGAAACTCGCAGGTTCGTCTACCTGTAAGATAAAATATGTCCGTGAAAAAAATTAAAAAAAGAAAGCTTCCAAATGGAAAACAACAACAAAAATAAGTCAAAATTACTAACTTATACTATAAATGACAGCTAATCAACAGCCCAGTTTCTTTGGAGAAAAGAAGCCACATGGAGCTATCTGCTGCGTCCACCGCCGGGAACGAACCTAGAATTAAAGTGTTGAAGTTTGTAGACTTACCGCTGTCCCACCTGGGGGCTATAAATTAAAGTTTAAAAAAACAACAACAAATGTTCTAGAATTTTGATGTATCAAGCGGTAGTGGCCGTCTCTTCTCACTCCACCAACTGTGGTCGACTGGATGCCCAAATGGCACCTCACACCACAACGGAAACACCGTCATATTTTGACGAGGCTTGCAGAAGGATCGATTAATGTCCCTAGGAGGATAATAGGAGAATAATCGGTAATCCCAGGTGCGTCCACTATCCGAGGGTTGTGCAAATCTGGATTGATCGAAAAAATTAGTGTCCCAAAAGTCAGGAGGTTGGGAGAGCATCTATGATGCCCACTATTGTCGACGTACGATGTTGCCTGGAGTGAGAGTTGGTTTCTATTTAGCTACTCTGTTATTGTTGCCCATACAGTGAAGAAGATAGTTTTTAATGGTATTGGGAAACACCAACATTTGCTATTCAGCAGTAGCAGCCGTTAGACACGAGCCATTCTCAACACACAGAGTCCACTCTGTTCGTTTTGGGCGCTCGTGCATTGAAAAACTTTGTTATCGACATGCCTGGACCTGCACTTTTACCACGTGGGACAGCAAGTGACTTGGAGATTTCTTCGTTGACTTTGACCTCAGCCTCATGAAATATAGTTAATCTCCCGGCATCCTTTCGTCTCTGCCATAATTATTTGTCTTTTATTGAGTCACAACTGTATTATACGTTGGAGTTATATCCGTATGTCGCCACGGAGACGATTCATTTGTATTCTCGCACGGGAGGATTCAATTTGATTGTTCGTTGGCTGTGTTTGTCTTGTAGAATAAAGTTTGCAAGAAGAACATTCAAGATATACATCTATAATAGAAATATGTACCAGGGGGCGCTGGAAAAGGTCAAACTTAAAACCTTCCAACTTTGAAGCTCAAACCGGATGGGCTAAAACGTAAGCTTAAAGGTCAGGCTAGAAACTTTAAAATTCGAACTTGGTGATCTAAAACATCAACCAGCACAAGTCCTTCTACCAATTATTTTAAAAGCTAAACGTAAGGTCAAAGTTGACTGATATAATATAACCCTGCTATTGTCTTCTAATTGGCTTAAGAACGACATAGTTTCTTATTCAATAACCGAAACTATCCAGCAGCTTCGAGAAAAGTTTGTTTGTTTCTTGAATTTATCGCAAAGCTACTCGGGGGCTATCTGCGCTAGTCGTCCCTAATTTAAAAGTGATAGGCAGCTAATCAATACCATCCGCCGCCAACTCTTGCGCTACTCTTGACCAGCAAATAGTGGGATTGACCGTCACATTATAATACTACTACGACTGAAAGGACGAGCATGTTCGTTAACGGATATTAGAACCCGCACAAAGCTTACTTTTTTGATCATCTAGTTTGAGCTTCAACGTTGGAAGGTTTTAAGTTTGACCTTTAAGCTTACTTTTTTGATCATCTGGTTTGAGCTTCAAAGTTGGAAGGTTTTAAGTTTGACCTTTAAGCTTACTTTTTTGATCATCTAGTTTGAGCTTCAAAGTTGGAAGGTTTTAAGTTTGACCTTTAAGCTTACTTTTTTGATCATCTGGGTTGAGTTTCATAGTTGGAAGGTTTTAAGTTTGACCTTTAAGCTTACTTTTTTGACCATCTGGTTTGAGCTTCATAGTTGGAAGTTTGACCTTTACGTTTTTAGATGTAAAAAAATCTCCAGAAGCAGACCTTGTGTGTCTCCATTAGTTTTTAAGATCTGTTATTATTATTTAAAGTCATGAGGTCATTTCAGGCAGGGATTCAAACAGCATTGAGTGCATACATAAATTTCCAATTTCGATCTTAAAACGAGTAATTCAGACATTATAATCCGATCGCTCGCTCTCCAATTGCTCCAGTAACGCTTGAATGTATTGTAACTTCTAGTTCGTCTTACTGGAAGCGCGAGGTGTCGCTGTGAATTGTAGGCACATTTTGCAGAGAAAACGAAGAAGCTATAGCCATCTTTGAAAAATGTTCACAAGAGGATAAAGGGAGCGGGTAATAAGTTGAGAAAAATATTGATATAATATATACTTGTTTGACAATGCTATTTCTCGATACCTTTTTATCGCTTCAACTGTGTCTTCATCCATTTTGTAATAAACGTCCTGAAGAAAGAAAGGTCTGCGCAAACTCAGTTATTGCCACAATTCTGATTGGACGATGTGAATCAGACCGTACTACGAGAAATTAGATAACAATGAGTTCAGACGATAGTGAAGCAGTCGGAGAGCGGCGGAGTTAACTTGAGCTTGGATTGATATATCAAAATTCGCACACCCCTAACATGTATATTGTACCTCATATTGAAGTGATAGACTAGAAGAAACACAGATAGTCAACAGTAACCACCACTAACTCTATGATCATAGGTGTTGGAGATGGCGGGGACAATAGACGAGATGGCGGGTTACAGTAGGCGATTGACTACTCACTTTTTAAAGAGCAAGATGGCGAATGTTTTGACAAGTTGTTTCTGCGCAGGCGCGACAATAACTTATCTACACGATCTGAAGTAAGATTCCAGCAGGAGACTAAAAATCGACAATTAGGGTTAAAGTTTCAACTTTTTAAATTATTTAATCGAAAATAAATGTTAATAAAACTTATATCAAAAGATTATATAAATCTTAACACTTCAGTTATAATTTTATTTTGGAGAAGATTCGTTGAACGTGTATCAAAAAAAATTGATGTCACAACGTCGCACTATTTTTTTTTTATAGTGGGCATAGACCAAGGTGTCATGATGACGTAGACGTTTTGTGAATCTGACAGAATGTGAACGTGCGTTTGACTTCTGAGAATTAGTTCAAATGTTATCGTATTTGACTCGTTCAGACATTCTTCTTTTGGCTAGTCCCCCCTCTCCCCCCATTTTTTTTTAGTCGTGCCGCCGTCTGTGATAAAATATCAAGAACTAATGATACAGCTTTTTAACGTGACACAAAATCAAAGTAACCATTTTTATAATCCACACACACAGACGAACAAACAATTACAAAAAAACTAGAACACATTTCCACTTACATTCTGGCGGTGGTTGAGACCATTCTCCGACATCATTACAAACCGCACCTGTTGCACCAACTAGTATAAATCCAGCATGACAAGTATAAGTTACCGAATCTCCCGCCAGGTAGCGCCCTGAGTCTAAAACTCGGCCATTAGGAGGTGGTAATGGAGCTACACAGGAAATAGCTAAGAAACACCTGATGAATTAGATGATCGTTTATTTAAAGATACAACTCTAGACAAAATCACCAACTAAATCATGGAAATATTAATTATCTTTTTTTTTGTAAAATTACGATTTTTTTAAAAGTTTTCTGTTTTTTAATTATAATATTAATTTATTTGTGTTTTTATTTTATTTTAGTGTTTCAGGTTTTCATAATATTCACGTAACTCTGCCAGTTCGAGCTTAAATCCCTCACAAAACTTTATATTATGTTTTATTAATCACATGCACCTTTTGGAAGAATCCATATTGTGTCAGTTTTAACTTTACGGATTTACAATATTAAAATCCGTGGTTCGATTCCCTGCGATGTACAGAACAGATATCCCAATGTGGTTTTGAAATAAAACAAACAAACAAACTTTTCGGAAGTTGTTTAGACTCCTTTATTTGGTTGTTTGTTCAGAAGTTTTCAGAAAGGCCTTTCTGTGCATAGCCATCCTTAAGTTTGAATTGATAGACTAACGGGAAGGCAACTAGTCAACAGCAACTTTAGGGTTACTCTTGTTTGACTAAACAGTGGGAATTGACTGTCACTCAGATGACACCCATAACCACAAATGAGAAGCACAACGGGACGCGAACCATGCACCACACTGATTCACACTAACCACTAAGGCCACGTTCGGGGTAAACTAACCTTACTACAAAAATGATAATTTCATTACTGTTTAGAAACTGTTTTTAAAGGAAGCAAAGGTTAATGGCTAAA